CTAATATCTTAGCTTCTGGAGAAATACGAGTCTCCAACAATCTCCCCTTTAGATGCATTTATTACTGCCCCCTTTCAAAAATAATGAACCTTGGTGACAGTTATGACTCCTTCCACTCTCCAAGCCTGACTGTTAATCATTCCACAGGAGAGATGAAAAAGGGTTTAAACGGCAGTAAGTCCGTTTGTATTTAATCATTAGATTTAATTTATTGACACTAAAGGTACCTGAAGTGAGAATTCTGCCTAGAAAAGCTTAGAAATTTGCCTAACATTTAGATGTGATTGTGTTGTGAAATCCATTCAAGCTTTAAGAATCTATGATTTGTTCTATAAAATTTAGTCATAATGGTTCAGGCTGAAGATAGTAATCTATTCTGCACCTCAGTTTCTAAAGTTAAGTGAATTTTTAAGACTTAAAACAGAGAGTCTGCTTGGAATTAAAAATTATTATTTATCATGGTGATGATTCTCCAACCAATTTTAGCACTGTCTACACCAGTCCTCAAGACTACCTAATATATCTACTACCTGTCAGTTTATATTTAGATGAAATACAACATCAGGAAAATTGTTATGCAAAAGGATGAAGGAATCCATCTTTCCATAAGCAAAAAAGTGATTCTTTGGTGTGATTCTGAAACAATGCCCCAAGTCTGTGCTGCCCAATATAGCAGCCACCAGCTGCAAGTGGATAGTAAATATTTGAAATGTGGTTATATTTAAATATAAATATAAATATAAAATATACACCTGATCTCAAAGACAGTGGGAAAAAGGAATGCAAAGTAGCTAATTAATAATTAATTTCACACTGGTTATATGTTGAGATAATAGTACTTTGGATATATCATGTTAAATTGATTATTAAAATTTCACATGTTTTTTGGAGAGTGGAGTAAGCCTACTTAGAGAACTGAGCAACGCTTCTCAACTGTTTACCAAGCAGAATAAAAAGCACCATTGAGAGTCATATCTTAAATGGAACCACAAAGAATGCACAAAAAATACAGATGACCCCCAAAATTTTAAACAGTAAATCATGCTAAAAATAAAAGACTGCTTTTAATTAAATCTAGTAAGGTCTCTTTCTTCTCTGAAATAAAAAGAATTCATATTTTTACTTTTACTTCATAGGAATAAACTTTAGTTTTTAGAAAAAATTATTCAGTATTAGCAGGATGCAAAAAAACAGGGATTCTAAGTTATTAAAGTGCCATTTTCCCCCTTTAGGGAAAAAAAAAAAAAGTTGCCCTGGCTGTCTTTCTCAGTGGTTAGAGCATTAGCCCATGTACTAAAGGAACATAGACTCGATTCCTAGTCAAGGGCACGTACCTTGCAGGTTCGATCCCCAACCCTGGTCTAGGGCACATATAAGAGGTAACCCACATATAAGAGGTACCTCTCTGACATTGATATTTCTCCTGTTCTCTTTCCCTCATTCTCTCTCTCCTTCCTCCTCCTTCCCTTTCACTGTCTCTAAAAATCAATGGAAAAATATCCTCTGGTAAGGATTAACAAAACAAAGTAAGCATTAGAAATGTTATATTATTATTTTCTTAAAAAATTAATTTAAATAAATCTTCTGTTCAAAAATTTCATATTTTAAAATACCATAAGAACATATATTATGTTAATCAATTAAGATAATGATTTAGAATCCACTCAATAAATTGATTTCCACCACCCACTCTCATATTTCACTATCCCCTCTCAATCGTGTAACATTTTTCTGTTTCTAGAAAGTCCAAGACAATAAAAATAAAGATCAGACTATAATTAATATAATTCCATCTGAAATACATTATATCTCAATAAAATGTTTTCACGGTTAGAGTGATTTAAATGTGCTTTCTTACACATTTATTCTTACACACTATATTATAATAATTTAAACATGCTTCCTAACATGTTAAAATATAACACTTCTACAGAGGCGAGATAAAAATGAAAGGCATGATTATATCCCTCTTTAGTTTTAGAAAGATCAACTGAAAGGAGTTTCTTTAAATAGCCTATGTAAACATAAGCTGTAGGTCCCAAATTCACTGGTTATCAATATAGAAAATGGGGTAATTTATCAATAATATGCTATTTAACCTACAGATATTTTATGGTAAAAAAAAAAAAGGAGAATATTCATATTGGTTAAGAGGGCAAGTAAGTTTCAGTAAAGTTAGTCATAAAGAAAATGTTTGTGCCTCTTGACACAATGAAATAGTAGTTAAAATAAAGCTATATTTCCAACCAAGATCCAATTAACCTGACACTTAGAATTTTAAATTCAACTTTTCCCATGTTCTCCAATTTTTCATATAGATGCCCTATATAAATACTGCTCGAAAGCTAGAAAGGCAGTAGCACAGTAGCAAGAACTAAGAGTCTATTCAGTGGTCTGTTTTATTCAAGTCTGATGGTTCACTCAAAAACAAGATGAATGTAAATTCTTATTATTTGTGAATGAACAAAAATAAAGAGCAAAATAAGGAGAAAAGTAAAGAAGGTAATGTGTGCTTTTTTTTTTTTTAATGTTGTAGCTGTTTTGCATAGGTTTATTTATTATTTTTACAGGTGGGGTTAAGAGAACTGTTTGAAAAAATGGAACCATGTGCTGTGCTAATTAAAGAATTTTGAGAAAAAAGACTGAGATTTGGGAAAAGAGATAATAACTACAAGTATCTGTCATATGCCACCTCCTATGCAATGAATAATTAAGCAAGAAATATAGCACTGAGAGAGGGAGACAGTTGAAGATATCCTCTATCTCTTTGTTACAAAGCAGGAAAAAATTATTTTCAAATTCATGATTTTGTTTTTGTTTACGCTAATAGCATTGAATCTAAGTATGAATTAAAAATGTGGTTATTAGATGCTTAATAAATAAGACTTTTAAATGTTTTAAAAATTCTTAATTCTATAACTAGTAACAAAAAGTCAGACTTATTAATATTTTTATGTGTTTATATCTCCCTACTACTTCTCAAAAGAGTTGAGTAATTAATTTGAGATTAGAAGTGGAATTTAATAACAACTATTAGCCCTAACTGGTTTGGCTCAGTGGATGGATCGTTGGCCTATGGACTGAAGGAATCTGAGTTCGATTCCGGTCAAGGGCACATGCCTCTGCGGGCTCAGTCCCCAGTTAGTGGCTTGCAGGGGGCGGCCGATCATTGATTCTATCTCATCACTGATGTTTCTATCTCTTTCTCCCTCTCCCTTCCTCTCTGAAATCAATAAAAGTATATTTTTAAAAAATAACTATTAAATCTATTATTCTCATTTACTGTTATCTAATATACACTGAGGTGGCCAGATTATGATTTCTGTGTGCATAATAATCTGGCCACTTAGTGTATATTCTATATAATAAAAGGCTAATATGCAAATTGTTTCCTCGACCAGAAGTTCGACCAGCAGGCAGGTTAGTCAAATGCCCATGTCCCCTCCCCCTGGCCAGGCTAGCTGGACCCAACCCATGCACGAATTCATACACACACACACACACACACACACACACACACACACACACATACACACACAGAGTGGTCAGATTACTATGCATTCAGAGATCATAATAATCTGGCCACTCGGTGTACATTTTAAAATTATCTACTGTTTATTCTTAAAGAGTATGATATATAATTGCAAGAGTATTACATACTACATTTTTAGTGATAGAAGAAAATTATACAGATATCCCAATATCTATGATTATTTCTGCATATAACAAAATCTTTAGTAAAATATCTTTGATATAAGCAATAATATACTCTAAATAAGACAAAGCATGTGAATACATTTTACAGACTGTTAAGTACCACATCTAAAAAGTAAAATATAATTATCATTCGACCAGCAGGCAGATCAGTCAAATGCCCATGTCCACTCCCCCAATTAATTATATTGAACTTTTAAGTACTCTTTAGTAACATAAACATTAGTAATGTAACTTCTCTTTGAACCCCAATATAACTCATAGGGTACTTATCATTTTTTCACATATAGTATAATAATCTATGTATAATTCTTATATTTTTATGAGACTATAAGGAGCTTCACAACCATAGACATATCTCATTATATTCAACAGCATGTAACATTGATACTGTACTGAGACACTAGTATTATGAAAATAAAATCCTGTACTTCTGAGCATACAAGCAAAAGACTGAGAAGGGTTATAGTAGCTAATTATGCAAAGTTCTTTTTTTTTTATCTCTTACAGTAGTGAACAAATAGATAAGAGAACTCTTATTTCTCCTCAATAATAGTACAATCCTATACCAAACAGGGTCAGGTAAGCATTTATAACCAGAGCAGATCAAAGATAATTCTTTTAAGAATAGAGACATGGGGGCTGGCTGGCATGGCCCAGTGATTGAGCATCGACCTATGAACCAGGAAGTCATGGTTCGATTTCCGGTCAGATCATATGCCCAGGTTGCAGGCTCTTGATCCCCATGGTGGGGCATGCAGGAAGCAGCCAATTAATGATTCTCATCACTGAATGTTTCTATCTGTCTCTCTCTTCCTCTCTGAAATCAACAAAAATGAATTACTTATATTTTAAAAAAGAATAGATAAGGGATCTTTGAAATAAAACAAAATAAAAGTCTGAGATCTTCCTCATAATATATTTCTGACTATATATCTTCTTTGTTGTTGTTGAATTTGGAATTCCATTGAGCAAGCTGCATTACATCCATAATAGACTTCCTTTAAAAGAGAGAGAGAGACTGCAAGGGGGAAGAAAACAACCATTCTACAACTAAAGAAAGAGACAAGAGACAAGAGACAGACATGCATACAGATACAGAGGCAGAAATAAGACACAAAAGAGAGAAAGACAAATTCCATACAGTGGTGCTTGGCCACTTAACCGAGACCTCATTCTTTGAGGCTTATCTTCAGTAAAAAGACTGTACTGCAAGAGAAATACTGCCCACATTCATTCAACAAGGGACACACTGAAAATTATTGTGAAATGAAATGTTTCTGTACCTTAATATCAGATGTATCACGCTGGCTGTTTCGCCAAGCTCTGGAAATGGATGAAAAAGTTCGATCTGCATGATCAAATTTCCCACCTTGCAAATTTAGAAAATATGTTGTGAAAGGTTCCTAAAAATAAGCAATTGAAAAAATCCATTAGGCATAAATATGTGGTTTTATAAATATTTACAACTAAATATTCTAATGAGTAATATACATTAGCTAGTAATAGGCATTGAATGGGAAGTATACCTAAATTATTACATTAATGTCCTCAAATTACTTCTCTTTCTGAAGACTTATTCCCAAAATTTGGTATGTGAAACATATTTTAAACACTCTTCTTTCCAAGAACAATTTATTAATAACATTCAGACATAAATTAGATGGTATTTTCTTCATAGTACAAGGAAATTGTCCAATATGTAATTTTCTTATTGTTATGGCTCAATATTTAATTTATGATTAAGAAAAGAAAAATGTTTGGAAGATTTAAAAGCCTCCTCTTAGTTAAAGAACATTTAAACACATATTAGTGGATAATTGCTTGAAATTAGCTAAGCACTATAAATTACTTCTAGGATTTATGTCTGCCTGTACCCTTCTAACAAGCTTTAATTAATGATGTGCTGCTAATGCTTTCCCAAAGAAATTACTTTCTAGTAGATGAATCACCTTTCAATTTTACAGAAACATTTCTTGTTTAACCAATATATTATCAATACAAGGCAGTCTTGGTGTAACTTATAAATATACCTTATTCCATTTGGGGCAAATGAAATTTCAAAATATATGAATATATGTCTATGTTAATTAAATTTTATTTATTTTAAAAAATAACATTTGAATATAATCTACGATACAATCTAGAATTTGCTAAGATATCTATCATTTGAAGAGGCAAATTTAAGGGAAAAATTCACACAGAGGTGAAACATTTTTAAGGCAATTCTATTATACAGTAATACATACCAAGTGGGATACAGAGATACTTACAACTAGAACCTTAATCACTGAAAATAATTATCATTCAAAAAAGATGCTGATGATTTTTAATCACGGCATAGTCTCTATAACATGAATTTACTTATTCAAGGTTTATTATTCAAATTGAACTTACTATTCTTAGCAGCCATGCAAGAACAAAACTTGCAGTTGAGTAATGAGTACCATAGTGGAACTTTGGAACTTGGTCATCTTCCCATGATTCATAACGCTCTGCAAAGAACGCTGCTCTTTTTGGATTCAAAGCTCCTACTGGCTGTCCATGGGGAGGAAAAACAAGAACACCAATGTAAGCATCCTTTATCACTTTCACTCCTCAAAATGTTGTCCTATTAGCAAGTTTGAAAGCGAATTCAAAATTATGTGTATTATTTAAATTAAAACAGATTGTTATGTTCTGACAGTAGGTGGAAAAACAAACATTTTCAATGCAGGTTAAACATACACATATAAGTGAATGGAGAAACCTGTCATTTCTCAATAAGTCTAGTTTTTGTTAAATAAGTATCTTTAATCAGCCCATAACAAGCATTTTTAAAAGACTATTATATGAAGTAAATATTAGCTATAAAATATTTTTGAAAGCACCTATAAAATTCTATTTAGTTAATTAGAAGCAACAACCAGAAACAGAATCTTGAAGCTAGAGGATTAATTTATAGGTGGTCCTGAAAAGAGGATGGACTAAAATCTGAGTGAGCAAAAAGATTGTGTGAAAAAGGGGTTAAATGTAGAAATTTCTACCAGGATGAGTAAAACCAGAACTTAAGGGGAACATATGCCTGCATGAAATATATAAAATACATTACATAGAAAGAATGGTACACAGATTACAAGGGGCTTACTGGAGTTATAATAGTGCCAAGTTAGAAGGTTATTTTGAAAAATAAAATGAGTCAGTATAGCCCTGGTCAGCTAGCACAATGTTTGAGCATTGCCCTGTGCACCAAAAAGTGGTGGGTTCAATTCCTGGGCAGGGCACATACCAAGGTTGTGGGTTCAATCCCCAGTTGGGGCATTTCAGTAGGCAACAAATCAATGTTTCTCTCTCTGATCCCTTCTTCTCTCACAAAAATCAACAAAAAACATATCCTTTGGTGAGGATTAAAAATAAATTTTTAAAAATTAATGATTCAATATAGGTAAAGTCCTACAAACTATGCATGACAACATCCAATGAATGCTACCTATTATTTTTGAGATTATCTTTAGAACTGGAGTAAAGTTTCAATAAAAGAATAGCCTGTGAGTAAAGAGCCAACACATTGCTTGGCATAAGATAAGAAGCTTTATAAATGCTAGCTTATGTTGTTATTATTGTTGCTGCTGTCATTCAGGGAACACACAAACTCCACTAAACAGTATGCAAAATTTTGTGTGATTATACACATGAACATTTTCTTAAGAAAAATATATAGAGTGTTCTCAAGATTTTCAAAGGGATCGAAGGGCTGAAATTATGTTAAGATCAATTGCTTTAAGTAACAATTCATTCTAATAAATCATTCTGACCTTTAGAAAACACCTATTGTTTATTTTTTTAAAATCAAATCACTTTCTTTAATGAAGGCCTAAGAATTAGCCACTCCTCAGTTATAAGAGAAAGAAAATATCTGATTATTAAAGAGGGAAATATGAAAATAAAATTTGATATTGGTTTTAAAATAGATGTATTCAGAAAGATTCTATTGAATATAAAGCAATGTTAAATTAGTTTTTAAACTGTTTTTTATGTTAATATGGGATTTTAAGCAACATTTTTAAATCATAAGTTTAGCTATCTTTTTTAAGTTAACTATTTTTTTCAAAGCTCCTATTTATTTTTAGTACCATTCTCTTTCAATAGCTTTAAAAGATTCTAATTCACACTGTATTTTAAGTGACTGTTTTATGTTATAAGCAAATTTTTAAAAATTTTTAGCTGATTAGCAATGTAAATAAGTATACATATTCTAAGTTAAAAATGCCACCTTTTAAAGCATTAGTTTCTGCACAAAAGAATCATATCTGATTTACTAAATTTATGCCAGTTAGGAATGAAACTGACTCCAAGAAATCTTTGTTACAGAACCAATTTTGAATGCCTTAAAATGAATTTTAGTTGTTGTCCCTAAAGACTGAGCTATGCAAAAGGAAAAAGAAATAAAATCATTTGAAGACAAATTATGTGAATTAAAAATAGAATCAATGCTCCTTTTGTATGGTTCTGCAGCATATTAAGTATTCACTTTATCTGCTCCCATTTTTATTACTCTCCAAATGAGTGCACACCCAAAATCAATAGTTATAGAATCACGTTTCTTGAATATAATGCTAAAACCAATTAAGATTGATTTCACTAGCATCTAAAAAAAACGGCATTGCGCAGAGATCCATATAGGTAGAACCCACAGTATTGATTCTAGCTGTTATTGTTACAGTTGCTTTCTGAAGCCTGTTCCAGGACAGCTATCAAGACATACCACATTTATTTGCAAGCATATAAAAAAGAAGTCCCCAAATAAAAGAAGGTTTTAAAAAAAACAAAAAACAGTGGAGCTGTGCAATGACAATGATACACTATCAGCTTACTCAGAGAAGTTACAGTGGGAATACACACATTGAATTATACATTACGCGAAAGCACTGATTTATTGTGGTAATAACATCCACCTCATTAAAAGATTCTGCTTTGCTGCAGTTGGAAGGCTACATATTGTTTACTGCTATAAATTAATGGCGGTCCAAAGAAGGCTGTGGAACCGTCTTAACAATAGATCTGTAATGACAGTGCTGTATATCATGGCTTCCTCAGCAGCTTCATAATAAAATGGAGACAATGTATTGAGCTAATACATTCTACCATGCTGGCCCATATTTTTCTGACAACTGCTTTAAAAGATGAGCTGAATCCAACTATGTTATAATGCAGCAAAACATTTAACTAAGCAAGAGTCTGTCACACACCAAAGTGCATCATAGCATTTTTAAAACATTGTCTAAATCAGCATTTCAAGTTGTTTATTAATTTCTACAAAAGAAGTAAAATTAAATGCTGAGAGGTACTCTTATACAGTATATCATGAGTATCAATAGAGTATAATTCAGAAAAATGCAGAGCACTATCATCCGATTGGGAGCTCTTTGTACAATTTAACTGTAAAAGCTTGGCTAAAGAATTTTTAAAATCAGCAAATTGATTAAAAGAATAAGAGAAAAAATATTAGTCATTTAAAATAACTTCCTGAAAAAAAATCAACAAAAAACAAAAATTGATTAGAGAGGTATAATTCCAGTTCATAATGATGTAAACATAAAGAACCCTAGAATATAAAAATTATAAACATTATATGAAACTTATACAAATAGGGTTATATAAGATTTTTAAATCTACAAAATAATAAGAGAACCTTGGGATAAAGTTATTTAAAAATTAATGTATAAGAACTACCAACACAAACATTAAATTTAAGAACATGGAAGTAACTTGGATTATAGTAAGATAAGACAAATTAAAGAAAATAGAGCACCAAAACTCTTAAAAATGTAGAAATAGCAATAACAAAAAATCACTGTACCTATGATATTTTAATTTCACAAATAGCAAAACTGTCAAATGTGGTAGAGTGTTAAGTATTTTGTTTGAGATATAGTAATGATACCCTTCAGAACCAGATATATTAAAAACAAAAACAAAAAAAAACTTCCTAAATCAGGTTTTTAAGAGAATTACAATTAAAATACCTTACTACCTTATTTTGGAAGCATTTTTTCTAACTATTAGGATAACAAAAATATCATATGTAAAGTGCCCAGCTCAGTGCCTGTCATATAGAAAATTATTAGTAATAATTATTTTTTCAGTTTATTTGACTTAAGGACCACTTAGAAATTAAGCACTTCCTGAATAACTCAGATTATTTGGAATATGAGGAAACAAAAACACCCCATCAGAAGAGTAAAAAGAAAAAATAATTCAAAAATATGAAGGTAGTATAAGGAGCCTCTGGAACAACTTTAAGTATACCAACATTTGTACTGCCAGAAGGAAAAGAGAGAGAACAAGATATTGAAAACCTACTTAAGGAAATAGTGTCAGAAAACTTCCCCCACCTGGTAAAAGAAATAGACATACAAATCCAGGAACCACAGAGAGTCCCAAACAAGAGGAACCCAAAGAGGCCCACACCACGGCACATAATAATTAAAATGCCAAAAGTTAAAGACAAAGAAAGAATCTTAGAAGCACCAAGAGAAAAGCAATTAGTTACCTATAAGGGAGTGCCCATATGACTACTAGCTGATTTCTCAACAGAAACTTTGCAAGCCAGAAGGGAGTGGCAAGAAATATTCAAAGTGATGAAAAGCAAGGACCTACAACCAAAATTACACTATCCAGTAAAGCTATCGTTTAGAATTGGAGGTCAGACAAAGAGATTCACAGACAAGAAAAGCTAAAGGAGTTCATCACCATCAAACAATTATTACATGAAATGTTGAAGGGTATTTTTTAGGAGAAAAAGGAAGAGAAGAAGGAGGAGGAAGCTGGAAGGGGGAGAGGTGGAAGAAGAAAATGAGAAAAAGAACAATAAAATGGCAATAAATATGTATCTATCAACAATTGAATCTAAAAATCAAAATAAACAAAATCTAACAAACAAAATAAACTGATGAATAAAATAGAATCAAAGGCAGGGAAACACATAACAGACTGAAGAATCTCAGAGGGAAGAGGTAGGAGGCACAGAAGAGATTAACCAAAGAACTTGTATGCATATATGCATTACCTATGGACATAGACAATAGGGTGGTGAAGACCTGGGGCAGGAACCAAGTGGAAAGGGCAAAGGGGGAAAACAAAGGGTAGTATCTGTAATACTCTTAACAATAAAGATTTTTTTTAAAAAAATATTTTTTAAAAAAATCCATTAAACAAGCCTGATAAGATCAGTGGAGTCTATTAGAAAAGAATGTAATAAACATCATAATCCTCCATTGGTACATGCAGAACTTATCCTGTGCATTCTATGTCAGAAGTCTAATAGTACACACTAGTCCCCCCAAAACACTTACCTCAAGAATATAAGCAAAACCAAATTACTTTACAAAAGTCCAAAGGGCGCCCTAATTTTACTATGAAATTATATTAAATGTCAAGTACACTGCAATCATCTTCTACTACATTAATTTAAAAGTTTTGAGACCCCTTCAAGTGCACACAACAGACTCTCATATAATCACTAGTAAAAGTTAGTGGTAAAAAGGAAAGGCTTTTGC